GAACTGCACTAGACCCACCTTTAATCCACCCCTGAATAAAATCTATGTTTTATTGTTAAAAGACTTTATGAGCTAATAATTAAAACACGTAGCCCCTCTCCCATTTACTTGTATGTAACACATTCTCAATAAAAAGGCACGATAATTCCTAACAGTTGTCACTCCTCAGAGAGCAATCTCTGAGGGGTGTCCGGCATAGGACATGCATAAAAGGCATCGAGGCCTCTGTCTTCTGTTCACCTTCGCCGCCTTCGTCAAGATAACCCACCCACGCCGAGGCTAGACCCCGGCAGTCACCTCGGGAGTTGGCCTTACAATCTGTTCAGGTTGCTTTCCAATATTTTCCTTCTATTTAAAAAAATATATTTAATTTTATTATTATTATTATTTTAATTCATGAGGGTGGGGGGAGAGAAAGTAAGAAAGCAAGCCACCAGGTCTGGGCTTCAAACCATGGTTGGTCAGGTGGGAGCCAGTCACCAAGCCACCTGCCTGCCCCACTCTCCAATAGTGACCCAACCCCTGGGTCTGTCCCCCCACCAACCCTCAGCATTTATCACAGTAATTTTAAATTTACTTGATTTCACTTGACTAATGTGTCTCTCCACTGCTTGACTATATACTCCTTGAAGGAAAGGGCTGTTTCTCCTTTCCTTTACATGGTTCTCAAAATGCATTTATAAAACAAATAATCATATCAGGGCATCGTGGTTGAAAACAAGGCTTCCAGTTTGGACTCTGACACTTAATGAGTTGTGATTTATCCCTTCAATTACATATTCTTTGACCTAATAAATCAATAGAACCTCTCACCTAATATAATTTCCCTATGACCATCTGCCAACTGTTTCAATGATATTTGTAAAAGGAATTTTTAAAAAACACAAATAGAGTAGATCTCCAGCTTCAAAAGGTTTGTTGAATAAATCACGGTGAGTCTAGAGCAGAATAAGCCATTAAAATGATGAAGAGTATTATGCAGTATTTTTGGAGAATAAACAGGATAAAGTGATACACTCATGAAAAGTTTTTAAGTTGGAAAGATACAACCAAATTACTAATAAAATTTATGTCTAAGGAAGGAGTAAAGTAGGAGGAATTTTTCTTTACTTTTTTTTTTCCTATGAATTTTCTACAATAAACTTGTACTATTTCCTAATAAATGAAAGTGACAGACAACTGTTTATGGGTAAGAGCAGTTATCAAAGGCTGTCCTGGGGTCAAATTAAGTAAGGACTATTATTCAAAAACTACTAATCATTATACTCGGCAAAAACAAAGCAGTTGGTGGACACAGGAAAGGCAGCTCTGGTGGAGGTGATTTACTCGTCAGTGAAGTAAGAAATAATTATGGTTTTAAAAGTAATTTCTCCAAAATCAAATCACTACTCAGAAATCCTGTGAAGACCCAGGTGGAGAGTGGAAGAATAAATATATGTGGAAACAATTTGGCGGCATCTGGAAAATTTGAGAAAATGCTCACAAGTTCTCTCAGCCACCTCACCAGGCCGTTACAAGTGAATAAAAGCGAACCAACAGGGAAGGGAGAGGAACTGGGCTCGTTGGATGAAACATGAGAGAAAATCAAATTAATTTCTCAGTTTAGAAAGTGGCTCAAATAATCATACAAAAAGCGAAGAAACCCCCAAACCAAACAGCACAGAAGACCAGCTCACTCGCATTTCTGAAAACAACGGTGCCGCAGGGAACCACGGTCCAGACAACTCGGCTGCGGCGAGTGGCGGGTTGCGGTGACCCCGCAGCGCCAGGCGTCGCGCGCTATCGGGTTTGACCAATCAGAGAGCAGAGTGGGCTCAGCCTCGCGGGTGATTGGAGGAGCTGGGCGGGGCGGGGCGGCGCGGGGCGGT